ATATATATATATATATATATATAGTGTGTGTGTGTTAATTATTTTGAACTTGTATGTTATATGCTTTTTATTATATCAAACAATTTGCATATACTTTAATATATGATTTTCGGACTAAATAAATATCTTAAGCTAGACGAACCTTGTGAGGTATTATTGGGGTTACGGTCGAAAATATCGATAAAAAAGTGAAGATACCCAACTGATAAATCAATGTACTTAATTATTACAAGTTTTTGTTTAGAAAGTTGCATACACCTAGTTAGACCAGTGTATTAAATTAGCTACTTTATTTACTGTGTTAATCTTTCATTCTGATCAATGTTGGTTGCGTGCTTTTATTAAAATATATTGATAGCCTTGGATTCGTTATTTGCAACATGCTATTTACTTTAATAAAGTTATCATAAATTGAACAAAATCTTTTAGTTTAACGGTGAATCACTTCGGATAAAAACGTTTTAATGATTACACATATCGAATTACAATATTTATTGACCACATTGGTTTAAATAACATATTATGATGACCAGATGAAATAGATTTTAGTTATAATTACTTAAATTTAGAGCAGTATCCCCAATTAAACAAACGAGAGGTATTTTTGTACTTCTTTTTAAGCCTTAAGTTACACTTTTTTTTTCTTTTTTTTTTTTGCAAAGCAGCTGTCAAAGCTTTAACTAAAACTATATCCCTATTATTCTTTATTGCTTATTCGTGCTTTTTTTTTAAATTATCTGATTCAGAACACAACGAAATAATTCTTAAAACCGTGTCACAAATATAAGTTAATGAGTCAAGATGCAAAGCGTTATTTTCACTGTAAAATGTTTTTGATTTTAATGAAATACTTTGCTTCAGATTTTTCGCGCAAAGCAGCACAATACTATATACGAATGGATATCCCTAACTCTGAACTGACAGACTAAAAGAAAAACACTCATCATAAACTCTTCGATTACTCTTGTCTGAGTCGATCGTAATGTTTACAGTCCCAAAGTATGACTCGCAATCTGAGGGTCGCGGGTTCGAATCCCCGTCACACCAAACATGCTCGCCCTTTCAGGCGTGGGGGCGTTATAATGTGACGGTCAATCCCACTATTCGTTGGTAAAAGAGTAGTCCAAGAGTTGGCGGTGGGTGGTGATGACTAGCTGCCTTCCCTCTAGTCTTACACTGCTAAATTAGGGACGGCTAGTGCAGATAGCCCTCGTGTAGCTTTGCGCGAATTTCAAAAACAAACAAACAAACAAGCAAATTAAGAATCATCATAATCACAGTGCGAGTACGCTAACCATTAGGCCACTCGTGACCCCTGGTGAGATAAATATGGTCACATTGTTACGTATGTGATTAGTGTTTGTGGAACAATATATAATTATCTAACGTTCGAAATATTGAGTTTACAAATAGCGATTTTTCCATGAAATAAAGTCCAGCTTACTGTATAAGGATACACAACAGATTATTTTATGTACTACTGATAGTTTAATGTACAGACAACAATATGATACGCCATTATTGAAACTCACACCTTTGGATTTTTTATACAAACTGACATATTATTCTACTATCATGAAAGAAAATCACTATTGTCAGTTCACAAACTTTTCAATGTATTTTATTTTTAATGTTTAATTAACACTGCTTAATTTCAGCGGCTCAGCGGTAAGCTAGCACTCTGGATTCAATCCTTACAGTAGGCACAGCGCAGTTAGCCCATTGTCTAGCGTTGCGCTTAAAATAAAGAAACATCTACACTGCAAATAATGTCTCTTTTTAGAAACACTCTTCAATTCTTTCATGACAAAGTAATTACCGCTTCAATCTTCGCTTCCAAGATCTTCATCGTGTGGTCCAGGTTTGACACGCTTAGTTTATTGACACTCAGAAACTTCCTGATGGTATTCTCTGCATCTGCATACCGCTTCCTGGTTAGAAGCCATCTTGGAGATTCGGGGAGGAACCTAAAATTTTATTATACAACTATGCTTACAAGATTGTATTGACTGAATTATAATACTCTTTATAGACACTAACATTAACACGTAGTTCGTTTGGTTTTGATGTATAGTCCTTTACTCACCATCAATAACTAAAATACTTTAAGTGTTTAGATAACATGTGACATACCGACATCGTCCCAATGAATTATTCTTATTATTCAGTTAAATGTAATATTCAGATTATATAGCATTAACCCTTTATTTTAGGGGTTTTAGTAATTGTACTTGTGAAACATTGAAGTAATCGAACTATGATGCAACTACAAAGTTTTTGTTTTACGAGATAACAGTAGATATTCTCCAACTCACCACCAGGAGACCAACATCGGTAGCCACCCGCACGTGGTTACAGCTTGAAAATTCTGCCAGTCCCTGATTATCCAAGCAATTCCAGGAAGAGTGATCAATCCTAGAGTCCAACCCCAAGAAAATGAAACCACTACCCAAAGTCGATACCCTGGACTAATAGTTTCCATTACTGCAGAAATAAACCAGAAAAATAACATTGCGATCCACATCTGGTATACGTTATCATACAAGTAAGAAGTACTACATCTAAATAATTATTGCTTCTCAGTGCCACCTGTCTCTTAAAAAAATAAATAGAGACTTCACAAGATAAGTTTTATTAAAACTGTTCTAACTAAAAACGATAACACCGAATTAACTTTGAAGACTCTTGATCCACAACAGACGACGTTGGGAAGAATTAACATCTAAAAGGAGGAGCGCCAGTTTACAAGTTATTTCTGTTTTCCTTGCTGCTAATAACAAATCATTTAGTATATTAGATTGATTACTTAGTGCAGCAATATAATCCAGAGATGAAAATGGAAAAAATCTCCTGTAGCTACTTACAAAGACAAACACCCGCATTCTGTATGCCGGCTACCCCCATCGCTGAACAAAACCGGGTAACATAAAAAAACGACAAGTTCGGAACAGCTGCGCCTGCGTAGCTCGAGACAATGGACAGGCACAGGGAACCTAGCAACACGGGACGTCTTCCAAACCTGAATAATAAATAGCGTAAATTAACAAAGGATTCCATAAGACCCAAAACACCTAAAACCACAAAAATTAGGTGAAAGTTGAGATCGAGGAGTGAGTAATCAAAAGTGGTGCAATGAATTTGTAAATGGACTTACTATTAATATCTGAGCATATATATAAACGATTTTCAGCCTCACCACGTCGTTACAGTTCATGTCGCCACGTCTGGTCGTATTTTATCTGACGACCGTTCATCTTTATAATATTGCTACGTCATACTTTTCTTTGCAAAATGATCGGTCTTAAGTCAGTCATGTCCAAAGCATACCAATCCTCCCTTATGCTAAATTTTACTACATTATGGTACCAGAAATAAGTTCCAGCACGCATTGTCCCCAAATGGGTCAGCGGGAAATTTAAAGGCTTACGATTCTAAAATCCGGTGTTCGATTCTCAATAGTGGACAGGGTGAAGATAGCCTATTGTATAGCTTTACAATAAAACAAATCAGCACGTACAATGATTTTGTACAATGAAATATTTTATTTAGGAATTACGAATAAGAAACAAAACGTTGTTGCTGTCAGCAGATTCATTAGAAGGTAAGGCCATCCACAGACGTCACTGAACAAAGATGTGCAGGTGCTGAACACCACTCAAACTCTTGCTATATAATTTATCCAGCGCAAGCTATGATCGAGATGAAAGACACTGAACTTTGCGAAAGCTTTGTGCATTACCCTACACCTGTATTCTTCTGTTGCATCAGGCATATTTAGGAGTTAGGAAGTGCTCCACTAGGAATCCAGAAAAACGTTCGCAATGAAACTCGTGGTACAGTGGATGAAAATTGGGTATGATACATCTTAAAGACAGATGAGAACAATTCCATTCTTCGTGGTCTACTATATTATTTATTCCCATACTTATGTCATTACAAATCCCCAGAGGTCACTAACGTCACAGTTTCACAACTGGCTTTTTCTTAAGGAACGAAGAACTTGGTGACTCGTAAAGTGACTGGATGACGTTATCATGAGTTGTTGTACACTTACGTCACACCAGAACAATATAAGCTTAAATGTATCTCCGACGTTACATTTATACAAGACGGTGCTCTGCCTTACATCCACCACAGAATAAAAACATTGCTTACATAGGCTTTCGGTAAGAACTTGCCAACATTTTTCCCTGACCTCACTCCTGATATTCATTTGTTCCGAAACATTCAACTGTAAAAAAAATGTGACGGTTAGAATTACACCAAATACCTTTTATAATTACTTGCACTCAAGGCGAAAGTATTAATAAACACTTTAATGTTAACATTTATAGGTAAATACAAACTGATGAATAATTACTTTTATTTAGAAATTATTCTTCTTAATGGTTTGTTTTCAATCCTATACGAATGTGGAAAATTTGTATAAAGTTTAAACATTTAATAAAAAATAATTAAAATACAGAATATAAGGTTTATTTGTAGTTAAGCACAAAGCTACACACAATGGGCTATCTGTGCTCTGCCCACCACGAGTATCGAAATCCGGATTCTAGCGTTGTAAGTCCGCAGACATACAGAACATAAAGATGAAGTAAACTAATAAATTACCATGTTCAATATAGTTTGTTGAAGGTGGAATATGTATATTCCGAAACGTTTAAGAATTAAATGTTTGTCACTGTACACAAACGTTCGTTGTTGTTGCCGTCGTTCTACAGTTCAACATCAAACTTCGATTTTCTTCGAATGAATCTGTTATACGAACGTATTTACTACAGATCGGTTTCTTCTATCAAAAGTTAAATCAGGCACTAAAATACTTACCTGTCACTAAGATGACCAGATATAAATACTCCAATCAACATTCCCAACATAAACACCGTCTGGTTCATGGATACCAGCCATTCCCGATCGCAGAACAAGTCCCACTGAAATATATAGAACTTTAGTCCTAAACGGAAAATCACAGAGAAGAAAAATAGTTCAGACATTTTTCACTCTGATAAATTAATTAGTGTTGTTTAATACATTTAGACCAAATCGACAAATGTCAGGCTTATGTGCCTCCAATAGGTTAACATTTATGAGATTAAATAAATACAAATCATCATATTTAATGATGTAGAACTTTTGGGCCTAAACAGAAACTCATAGTGGGAAGAAATAGTTGAAACGTTCTTCGCAATGAGAAATTAATTGTTTAATGTTAGTAAAAAGCACTAGAGAAAACGTTAAAAACCATACAGGCTAAATCGATAAAAATCTCCAACTATGTGCCTCCAAGATGTTAACACTTAATACGCAGTTGGACTGCTACACGATTTTCTGATTTCGTTGTGTGTGTATATATATATATATATATTGTTACGACAGCGGAAGTCACGTGACTCTGGTAACACGTGAGGAGTTTCTAGAATGATCGGGGAACATCACGAATAATCCAGTATTTGCTAGACGCCCTCTATTCCTGTATATAAGCGCGCCAGATAAAGCGAGACAACTGATCGGAACTACAATAATTGCAGATAGAGATATATAGAGACAGATAATTGAGCGGTAGTGACTAAGTAAAGTGCGTGAGTCGTTGTGAATTATAGCGTGTGTTTAAGTTAAAGTGACTGTGGAAATTCTGTGTATTGCAAAGTTGTATTGAGAAAGAATAAACTAGTTTTATTTAAGAAAGGACTTGTGTCGCTGAAGTTTTTCAGAAATAATTTTTTACGGGAAATTAACAAACGACCAGAGACGTAACAATGCGTGTGTGTGTATTTTCGAGTGTCTAAATAAATACGAAAACATCCTCTCTGGTGAGAATATTTACATATACAAGTAGGAAAGGGGGGGTGAAAGTAGTTTGAGTTAACAATTTAGCCTCTCACTGTTGATAGGCCTGTTGGTTAGGGTGCTCTACTCGCAAACTACGGGTTCAAACATGCACGCTCTTTCAATCGTGGGGGCGTTATAATGTAACAGTCAGTCTCACTATTAGTTGGTAAAAGAGTAGTTCACTAGTTGGCGATGGGTGATGTTGACTAGCTGCCTTCCCTCTATCACTGATAAATTAGGGACGGCTAGCACAGATGGCCCTCCTGTAGCTTTGCGAAAAATTTAAACCAAACACAACTATAACCTGAAATAATTACTTATATCACGAGACAATTCTTGAAATAAACTTCACAGTTCAACATGTTAACATCCAAAGTGCACTTGTTTCCAAGAAACACGAGATTGAAGACATCAAAGAATCCGACCCAAATATTCTAGTAAAATCCGAAACTACGTTGAATAAAAATAATAGACTAAAAACACCAGGGTATTCAGTTATTAGAAACGACAGGTTAAATAAACAGGATAACAACAGAGGAATATCTCTATTGTATAATTCTAGCCTAATTTAAAACGAATACCCCAAATATACGGATTTTATTGTGGTAAAATTTCTATATGGCACCCCCCCCACTCAATTTTAAAAAAAAATCATCAAAGTAATATTTATGTATTAATAAATCATATTAATAGTCTGATCTGA